GACCAAAGTTGTGCTCCATATCCAACATCAACAGGACTATTTTATTCGTTTTCAGTTTCATTTTAGTTCGCTTATGGATTTCCTAGATAAGATTAATCGTAGCGTCGTCTTGTACATAAAGACGAAACAGAGATTAGAATATGAACCAATTTACGAGTTGAATACCCGGGGACAACACTTAAAAAGTGAAATAAAAAACTTTCAAACTTTTGGATAACCGAAATCTTTAAATGCTTACACAAATATAAACCTTTAGTAATGCTAAAGTATTTCTGTACACACGTGCTGGAGGTTACCTGTTAGTTTGATATGTACTGAAAGCCATACATTCACTTACATCCTACTCCACCCTCAGCAGCGAGATCATGTGTATATCGTAATCTAACGCAATACAATCCACAAAGAATAAATTACCAGTACTGTAAGATTTTTCGGCAAAGGGGAATTGGAAAAGGTAGAATGCTGTATAACGATATCAAAACGAACTCAAGTTATTGGTGTACTTCATTATCTACTACATTGGAGAAAAAAACAATTTGTCAGATGTGTTATAATTTACTACACTGAAAAAAAACAATCTGTGAAATATTTTACTTACCCATTGAAGATAACTCAATTTGTGAAATATATTCTGACTTGCCCATTGAAAATAACTCAATTTGTGAAATATATTCTGACTTGCCCATTGAAAAGTTCAAAATAACGCAATTTGTGAAATATATTCTGACTTACCCATTGAAAAGTTCAAAATAACTCAATTTGTGAAATGTTTTGACTTTTACATTCGAAAGCAATCAATCTGTTTATGCATTTAGTCTTTTTACATTGAGAAGAGCTCGGTTTATCAGCGTGTTTAACTAAATTCATTGAAGAATCCCTAATATATGAGTGTGTTTGACTAACTGTAATAAAAATAATTTAGAATAACTCAATTTAATGGTGTTTTAATTGTTATAATGATTTTTTGACTAACTACATTGAAAAACTTAAGGTCATAGTAGTTGGTTACAACAGACTATTTGCAAGTTTATATTACTTCCTGAAAACAGAACTCTATCTATTTGTGTTTATCGACCAATGAAAAACGCTCATTTAATATGTTTTGAAAAAAGAACTCAATTTCTTAGTTTTACTCCCTGGATAAGGATTTCCGTTTATTTGTTTGTTTGTTTGTTTGTTTGTGTTTTACGTCCTATCAACAGCTATAATCAACTTCCATTACTTTGTTTGTTTGTGTTTTACGTCCTATTAACAGCTATGACCAACTTCCGTTAATTTGTTTGTTTGTGTTTTACGTCCTATTAACAGCTATGATCAACTTCCGTTAATTTGTTTGTTTGTGTTTTACGTCCTTTTGACAGCTATGGTCAACTTCCGTTAATTTGTTTGTTTGTGTTTTACGTCCTATAATCAGCTATGATCAACTTCCGTTACTTTGTTTGTTTGTGTTTTACGTCCTATTAACAGCTATGATCAACTTCCGTTACTTTGTTTGTTTGTGTTTTACGTCCTATTAACAGCTATGATAAACTTCCGTTAATTTGTTTGTTTGTGTTTTACGTCCTTTTGACAGCTTTGATCAACTTCCGTTAATTTGTTTGTTTGTGTTTGACGTCCTATAAACAGCTATGATCAACTTCCGTTAATTTGTTTGTTTGTGTTTTACGTCTTATTAACAGCTATGATCAACTTCCGTTAATTTGGTTGTTTGTGTTTTACGTCCTATTAACAGCTATGATCAACTTCCGTTAAATTGTTTGTTTGTGTTTTACGTCTTATTAACAGCTATGATCAACTTCCGTTAATTTGTTTGTTTGTGTTTGTTGTCCTATTAACAGCTATGATCAACTTCCGTTAATTTGTTTGTTTGTGTTTTACGTCTTATTAACAGTTATGATCAACTTCCGTTAATTTGTTTGTTTGTGTTTTACGTCCTATAAACAGCTATGATCAACTTCCGTTAGGCTACACTGTAGAATTACAACTATACTGTAATACATTTTTTTATTTTAGACGCCACATATTATGTAGGAATGAAACCGTCTCCATAGATTGTTTTAATGTGCTGTTGTAGAGCTAGGCCAGTCCTTAACTCAATGATTCTATCAATATGTTACATCTGTTACGACTCGAGGGATGTTCTAGGATAGAATACAGGCTGTCCATTTTCACAAATCAAAATAGTCTTCGTTTTGAAGATTTTGATCAGTATCTCACAAATGTCCATTTCGGAATGAAATTTGAATTTGTTTATGATGGCAAATTTAATCAGGCATTCCCAAATAAGATTTCTAAAATCCAATTTTTGAATTTGTCAACAGTTCCCCTAGGCTGTTTTATTAGATGATATTTTTCAAATTATTATTAGAGTGAAATGTTGGTAATCAGCGTTATCTGCCCAACTGAAAATGGCAGCCCGCGTTATTAAGTATTATTATGTAACCCTATCTAATGTGCACATCGGAAATTTGAAATTTGCCATGGAGTCGCCATTGTGCAGCTCAATTAAATGCACTTTAAAAGTGTCACAACCAGTTAGTACGGTAACTGACAAATCACGTTCAGTTAATCACCACGTTAATGTTTTTTTTTTTTTTTTACTTCCCTTTGAAATTTATGCGATTTTTACGAAGCAGCTTTTAATAACAAAGATGCACGAACCATCAAAACTCTTTTAATTAAATTTTGATTTAGATTTTGTACTTTAACAAAGGGCTGGTTATGAATGTGAAATGGTCTACTAATTTTAATGTAATTTTCAGTTTATATTACATTTTGACGGGATGTGTTATGGTAAAACATTGTCCGTCCGTCTGTTAAACTTTTCTTGAGCAGAGAACATCTTTCTATCCAATGAATATATTTCAAGTACATTTTCTACACAGTAACACATATGGGGTGAGCCATAGGGTATTACGGGCTCTCACTTCATGGGCAATGCAAACTGAGGTTAAATATAAAACAAAAAGTTTAATTCTGTCCAGGTAACCTCTTTTTGATTAGAAATACATTTTAATGAAGCATAAAAAACCCATTGAGACTTACCATTGGCCATGGCATAAAGGTAAAAGCAGTTAACTTATTAATCAAATGATGCTTTTACGTTATTATAGGTTTCTTTTATCAGGAAGGATTAATTCAATAATTATTATTCATAATCTTTTGGAAGGCCGTGATTGTAACTTCAGAGTGTTTACGTAGTTAGGGTCAATGATTGGTTGCTGGTAAGATTATTATGTTGGCCAGTGAATTGTCAAGGTACGAGAGGGGATACTATCCCTCTTTGCTACATACCCATTTCTTTATCCAGACATGTTTCAAGCATTCGCCAGCTTCTAAGAATTTTAAACATATCCTCTACTGTTGCCGGTTTTGTTTGCAACCTCACTTTGGCTGTGTTTGGTAGTTTTTCAATTTGACATGATTTTGATTATTCTCTGTATTTTTTAATTCAAAGTTTACACATAGTGTGGATTCATCTATATGAATTATAAATGTAACCGTTCGTGATTGCCATGTTCGGCGTCAGAGTACCATTAACTCAATTTATAAGAGGGCTGGTGACTGTGTGTAAAATTGAACTCTTCCAAACACGTCTTAAATCTCGCACTCAGTATACTACCGCAGCATTGGGACAATGGGTAAAACATTGAGATGAAAAATGCTCACGGAACCAAAGTTTACTTGAAAGATCCTTTTATACATAAAGCTAGGAAACATAAAACGAATTTGATACTGATCTTTTTTTTTTTTAAGTTTGAGATTGTTATGGCTGTTTGTCGACCTTCGTTTCCCCTGACAAATTTCAATTCGAGATTGTCATGGTTATGTGTAGACCTTGGTTCCCCCTGACAAACTTCCCCGGCACCTTTATGTTACAAAGCATCCTAAGGCATTGTAAACACAGCTGTACTAACCCCATAAAACTGGCAAACTTCTTGTTTAACTTCAACACAAAATCAATACTCACCACACAGACTTGGTGTTAGGATATTGAAATTCTAAAGATTACGCCTAAGACTGCTTAATAACAGGGTATGTATCTAAAACACAGTTATAAACCTGCACACTTTAATGCCGACCCAGGAACCGATTCGGGAGGACAAGTGGCACGTCATGATGGCATGGTTCCACGGGAGTGGGGCCAGGTGGTTAGGAGGGATCCCTAAGTTGATCTAAAACTAAACATGAGTGGGGATTTTCATGTGTGTGCAGTACTTTACATATTTTTGATATAATATAGTTTTTGCTACATTATTACATATCCGTTATTCAGTAAAACACTAAATCAGAATTTGTTTTCTATTACCATGTGAACTGTTTCTAATTTGCCTTTCTTTACCACCATGTTACAGTAATGAGCCTCAGACGGTATCCATTTACATACATCAGAAGATATTTACCAATTCCATTTACGGTCTCTCAGTGTTTGGATAGGTAAATAAAGATAAAATATATTTGCCATTCCTATCGAGAAATATGTATTTTTTGTGTACTTGAACAAATCTTCATTACTCTGGTAAGCATTAGTACAAGGGAACTTAGAAGCCAATTGGATTATATTTCCCTGAAAATGTACCTGGTCGTTTTGTTAAGTAGTAATGTACCACATATCATACCTTATCAAGATTACCTACACATATTTCATGCCACATCCTTAATTTTGGTGAATACCTACACCTATTTGGTGCCACACCCTACCTTGGTGAATACCTACCCCTATTTGGTGCCACCCCCTACCTTCGTGAATACCTACACCTATTTGGTGTCACACCCTACCTTGGTGAATACCTACACCTATTTGGTGCCACACCCTACCTTCGTGAATACCTACACCTATTTGGTGAATACCTACACATATTTGGTGAATACCTACACATATTTGGTGAATACCTACACATATTTGATGAATACCTACACATATTTGGTGCCACACCCTTTATTTTGGTGACAACCTATATATATTTCGTCCCAAATCCTTAATTTCAGTGAATACCTACACATATTTGGTGCCACAGTCTATCTTGGTGAGCCACACCCACGACCTGTCCCAGTTAGAGCACTGAGCAGGGATCCTCCGTATCATAGGCACTCGCTGGACATTCTTCCCTGCTTCCACACTGAAACATACAGTACAAGTTATCTGTTAATGGTGTAATGGACGTTGTATAAAGGATGCATTGCAAAGGTTTCCCAAATATGAAGGCTTTGTTAAATTCATCATCTTAACATGTTTATAAAGGTAAGGAGTGATAACAAAGAAATGTTTATAAAGAGGATATTTGATGGTTTTCCGATGAATACCACAGACAGTTATGTACATATATTCCACAAGTATGGCAGAAAACCGACTTTTTTCACGATTTCGAGCACAACGGAAAATATCGATATATTCTGTCATACGAGTGAAATAATTTTACCTGGTATACAACCGATAAACAATTAAATTTTCTGCTTATTAAATCTTTAAAGTAAAATGACGAAAAACGTTACTGCATAAAAAAAGTTCCAGATTTGCTAGCGTAACGTTTGATGCCATATTCTAATGACGTCATGTCGTCATGTGTAACAACAAAATTTCGTTTCGGATGGGCTGCTTAACGCAGTTTTGTCGTGTTCTGCTAATATTTGATGACATTTGCTTTCAAAAATAATATTTATTTATTCAAACATATTTTATTCATCGGAAAAACAATCAAAGGGATTTTTTTTATTTTTTTTTCGATCAATAAAATATGTTTGAATGAATTAATATTATTTTCGAAAGCATATCTAATCAAATATTAGCAGAACACGACAACATAAGTTGAGTAGTTACATGTAGGAAAATAAGTTTGTGTAGTAGCAATGTGTACCAAATGGATAACTGTGTAATGAGCAAAGATGTACAAAAAAACCTAATACAAACAAAATTTAGAAATTAAAAAAAACCCATTTAGTTCAACCATCGTCGCTTTGAAAGCAGTTAATAGAAAGTACTATTCTGATTGGTCGGTATTGAAAGTGATATCTTTAGCTAGTTTCCCAAATTAAATAGATCCATTCGCGCAATAAACGAAGTCAGACAAACACGTATGTGTGCTATTACTTTCATTACATACCTACAATTGTTCTTTATACTCATTTTATATGTTTTGCAAAACATTGATCATCATTACCCTGTATTAGCGTTAAATTTACTTCTCGAAGCTTGAACTGAATAACAATGACGTCATGCTAGAATTGTGTTATAATGGTGCTAAAATGTTTGGAAGCCATTCCTGTTTCCATTCTCCGATTTGACCAGTGTATAGAAGTCGTTTGTACTACCTGGTGAATCTTACTCATGCAATAGAATGTTCTATGTTCCACACTGCGATAATACAATACATCACTTTGCTGGAACTAAGAGTTGGTCGATTGTCATCCACGGATCAAATTGTCGAATTTGATACGAGGTAATAATAAGAAATTCAATATGCATATCAAAAATAATTGACGCAAAACAAATATGTGTTGATTTGCCAATTTATCGGATCGATAATTTCTGATGTTACACTGATAGAAAAAGTAGTTGATAGGTTTAAATCTATATATAAACTTGCAACAAAAATGTAAATGTAATTTTATGAATCATGTTATGATGATTAAACAAACAAATATACTCCGACAGAATATAGTCATTTCAGCTAGTGGTTCATCATTAAAACCATCAATTCTAAGGAAACAGACCGATAATTAAATGTAAAAGGCATGGTAACGGAACAGTAAATCTGTCCCTACATACACACGCTTCTGTTGGCGACAGAACGTTAAACACGTGACGATGGACGAGATTAACATCTTCATCTGTCGACTCGGCTGTATCCGCTCAGATGTTGATGGAATTAAAAGGGTTGCCATAACAACTATAAGTTTGATCCCTTTGATCAATTATAGTTATATTGGACGTCTACAAATCAATTCTACCATTGCTGTGTGCTCAGAACTGCCGTCATATGGCGGTAATTCTCCTTAATTTGATTTGTATCTGTAAGCTTTCTTTGTCATCTAGTAGTAATATTTCTAACAGTGTTAACATGTCATTTTAATATTATTACAGTTCTAAACTGGTTAAAGAAAAGTGTTCAAAGTTATCTAAGTTTAAATGTCCTTCTTTTAACAATGTACAATATCTTCATTTCCAAAAACTGCATGCTTCCAAAGCCAGGTGATGACCAAATATAAATATAACAATAAGTCAGTAATATATTATAACTGTTATGTTTAAATTTTGAAAAGTATTCAGTATATATTGAATAACACACAGCATACCACATTCTGAGCTACTTATCAAACCCCTTCTCCCCAACACTAGTGTCTGTTTACTAAAGAAGCCAGTGTGCCTTAAAAGACTGAGATCTTTATAATTAAAAATGTTGGTTATGTTTTGTAACATTTGCAATGTATTTCTGAAGTTAGAATTGCATGAGCATTGAAAAATAAAACGTATTTCAACGACGTTAACTTGCCTGTAGTTACTTTTCCTGATATACTTTGGCGTGTTTTTTCTCTCAATTACAATTCCTAATTGAAATTACTCATTCTGAATTTAGTAATTAAATTCCCCAATTCAAAATTTAACACATTACATTAGTAAATAAATGTACGGTTTTACTATTAGTATTTATAATTAAAAAAAAATAATACTATCACATTTCTTACATGATATTTCTTTATAATACACTTAGGAATATAATATTAGACCTCAGATACATAAAATACATAACGGTGTTTTAGTTATGATTGCAGATTTCAGGAAGACTATCTAAACTGTAGATAAATTACAAAAGTGTGCAGCAATGTTTGTCTTTCTACGGTGATCAGTGTATCATTCCCTGCCGATGTATCAAAATATTGAAATGGAACTGGAATATGCTTCTTAGTCGGGTGTTACAACATTTCCACGTGCTGACCCTGGATCTACAGAGGTGGTTTGCTACAGAGATTTTATCCCCTTTCATCTGCTCTGCTTTCATCAACAGATTTATTTCAGGGGATTTGAAAATAAGCTGTAGAGCTTAGCAGCTTACTGCGTACAGCTTCCCCAGACTGCCTAACCAGTTGATGTACAGATACCGTGCTCAATTCACAGGTTTTTCTTTTACAGATCTAGCATAATTCAACACATCATTTTGAAATGACAAGTGCACTTTTGATTCATTTAATAACCTTGCTATAAAAGTAAGTAAAGTGATCTACACAGGTCAGTAAGTAAAGTGATATACACAGGTCAGTAAGTAAAGTGATCTACACAGGTCAGTAAGTAAAGTGATCTACACAGGTCAGTAAGTGAATTTCTACAGAGGTCATTGATTTCCTACAGAGGTCAGTTCAGTTACTTTCTGTAGATGTCAGTTCAGTCACTTTCTGTAGATGTCAGTTCAGTTACTTTGTACAGAGGTCAGGTAAGTTACTTTGTACAGAGGTCAATTCAGTTACTTTGTACAGAGGTCAGTTCATTTACTTTGTACAGAGGTCAGGTAAGTCACTTTGTACAGAGGTCAGTTCAGTTACTTTGTACAGAGGTCAGGTAAGTTACTTTGTACAGAGGTCAATTCTGTTACTTTGTACAGAGGTCAAGTACGTCACTTTGTACAGAGGTCAGGTACGTCACTTTGTACAGAGGTCAGTTCAGTTACTTTGTACAGAGGTCAGGTACGTCACTTTGTACAGAGGTCAGGTTAGTCACTTTGTACAGAGGTCAGGTAAGTCACTTTGTACAGAGGTCAGGTAAGTCACGTTCTGTAGATGTCAGTTCTGTTACTTTGTACAGAGGTCAGTTAAGGACAGAAGGAAGAGTCTTTACATCAGAGTTATTGAGTTACCGTGATTGCTACTAAATGTTAAATACATCTTACTAATATGAAGAACTTCATGTCTGCATAGGAATTATCTCGTATATATTTTGGAATAAGATTTAATATTATAAAAGGAAGCAAGGTTTCATATGCAGTTAATGCCTGCTGCATAGAGACTACACACATTGATATACGACACGAATTATATAGATGTCAAAACGACGTTAACGTAGGATCTGTATAACATCCGAGACAGCTGAAAGTGTCTGTGTCGGTACACTATCAATTATACCAGCGTGTAAGCTGGGCTTTGTTTCCATTCTGAGGCCTGGCCTACTTTCTGCCCTATTTCCCAAAGCCTACTCACTGTAATGCACTCAATATTTTATATTCTTCATGATCATTCCTGATAGATATATTTGCATTCTGTTTCTCCTAGAAGCTTGCCTTTTTTGTTCATCTTTGATAGATATGTTAGCATTTGATAGATATATTTGCATTCTGTGTCGTCTAAAAGCTTACATATTTTGTTCATCTTTTATAGACACATCTTGGATTCTATTTCTAGAAGCTTACATATTTTGTTTTACTTGGAAGATTGCACATACATGCATTATACATACCGTCAGTATTATATGGGCAAAAGAAGGCTCTCAAAATGACATTCTAAATTGATTAAACTACATGTATGTCTTATTTTATTCAAAAATTTAAGTTTGACTCACGAGTCCCTAATATATTTCTGTGGAATTTGATAACCACATAACATACATCGGTATTAACTGATATACTCCGGCGATAGAACAGACTACACAATATATAGGAAGCTTCCAAGAAGACGATATGGCAGAAAGGTTTGTTATTTGATTGAAAGGATTCTTTTAAAAAAGGAGAGAAAGAAAAGAAAAAAGATGGGTTCTCTATTTCCACATGTCATCATATATGTTTACATCTATAGGTTCGCCATATAGATGGAAGAATGTTGGTACTCTATATGTTTCCATGGTAACAACATTTAAAAGGAAATGTCTTTGCAGCTTCATGGTTCCTTGTATATTTTTTAAAGTTAAAAGATAAAAAAAAAACCCAGTTGAGATTACAAGATAGAGACAAAACAGCGCCATACACTTATAGAATTTGATTTCCCTGTCGAAGTCTGTTCATACCGTCTAACGATCCCCTGTGTCTACTACAAACACAGAGACCTGAATATTTTATTCATGAAGACGGTGATCATCTTTGGTAGATAATGCTACATTCGCGAGGTGATTCGGCGCTGTACTTACCATAGACAATGAACCGGTAGATAGGGATACTGAACAGACGAGCGAAACATTGGGTCTCCCAGGAGCCCCAATATATAATAAATGACAATCATTTTAGAGCAAATCCTCCACTATTTACACAATGCATTGAAAACAAAAGATCATATTTGACAATTGAAAATAACCGCATTCTGCTCCGAACATAGAAATGGCCGGGACTGACAAAGTAGTTTATGTCTTTAGCCGGCCTGGTTAATTCCTGAAGGACACATTAGACCTGTTTACCGTGAGCACTTTGCCTTGATCAAGTTAACTATACTGCCTCTGCAAACCCAGTAATTTCCATGTTGAAAACAAACCATGATAGTATAGGGATAAAGAGAAAGTGCTTTATTGATCTGGGTCGGGAGCCATGGCACAATGGAGTTTTTTTTTTGTAACGGTAGAGAAAGAAATCAACTTACCGTGCTGAGCGAGTACAAAGCTGAGCTTCTGTCAGACTGGCCAGAAATGATAAAATTCCAAAGAGAACACTCAGATGAAATATTAAATTCCAGGTGCCCGATTCCATTGTTTGGAAAGTGTAATTCTCAGTTCATCCAAGAGCTTGTGTGACGTCGCTCATCCACAGAGATAGCTGCTGCTGCTGAATACGTTGACACGGCTGCAGCCCGCCTCCTCTCACACGCGCGCTCTGTCTGTAAATAAACACAGGAACATCGTGAGACAGGTTTTGTATCTGTGGTGATGAGAGGGGACTTAACACAGATAGCTAGCGCTTGTCAATATTGAATATTAGTATCACTCGTTAAAGCTTTAGTGATCGATACAGCAAATACTGACAAGTGCTGCTTCCCCAAAACTCTGATGACCGCCGAACGTACCGGTACAGAGCTCTCACACACTTTCACAAGTACACGGGAAATTATTGACATTTATAAATAATAAATCCTAAAGATGATAGCTACGTTTGCTTGTTAGTCTGTGTCAGTTCAACGAAATATATGTTTGTGAAGTACTGGAAACTGAGGATATGAAATAGACAGTTACGAAAAGACGTTATAAAATTTGTAAAGCATGAAGTTATCTAGGAGTGAGCAAAGTAGACACAAACCTATTGTTGTACAGTTTCACAATGAGTTCCACAGAATACTGCAAAACGTGTTTGATTACCTTTCCAAATAAATAACTGAAAACGACAACCGCGGCTAATCATAAACCCTAATATCACCTAATTTAAACACACAACGACAATCGGTCAGATTTAGCAGTACTCAGTATACATGTTAGTGGCGAGAACATCCCAATAATCAGTGTTGGTTTAATAACAGGTGTTAACACAACATGGCTACTCAAATTTTGATTGAACATTAAACAGATCGATAATCGGTCAAACAGCCCGCCAATCAGAGTTATCAGCAGTTTTATTAGCTGCTGGAGCCGAGGTGCTACCTACAGTGAGGAACGGAGCCGGTATAGCGATCCAGGATTTTTTAATCAACTTCGCCTGACAATCGCCTGGTTTTCCAGTGATGTCATAAGAAGCCTAAAAGAAGTATTGTGACTAGGAATAAATCTAGAACAGGCCGCAAACAGAGCAACAATGTTCATGTATTATTAAAATATTGGACATGGTAAAAATAACATTGATTTGTTTCATGTCGACATTTGAGGGTATGAAAGAGACGAAGAGCTTCAATAATTCATTCAGGAAACATAAGAGAGGCTCCGTTATTGGAACTGGAGCCAAGCAGAGGAGGTGAGGAGCGAGCAATGATAAGGCACAGCGTTCGTTAGCTGTCGGGGTCATCTAGACACGACAGATGGTTCAAATGTGAACTGAGATGATTTCCTGTGGTACCAGGAACTGGTCCATGCGATCATGTCTTATGTAGGTCGGTGTGGTACCTAGAAACATAGGTAAACACCACAACACTATGCATAAGTATAAGAGGGAGGGGGCGGTAACCAGGACCACACGTAGAAGAGCATACGGCTCCACCAGCTCTCCGACATACCCACCCATCTACGGGTCTTGTATCATGACTAAATTTCCGTTACTGTACCCTACTCTTCATATCATGAGATTGCATTTAATTTGAATAGCAATTTAAAAATTCTGCACTTTTTTTAATGATAATTAGCGCTTAATGACTTTTTTGAACACACTGCTGGGTCCCTAATTCTTTTTCCAAATCGGTAATAAATCCATAACCTCATCTAAATGAATAATTACTTGGCCTCAAACAGATCGACGGGAGTGCTAACTCTATTCCATGTCAGCTTTAATGAAAATGCACTCCTTCCCTTCGATTAACAAGGAGTAGAGCGGCACTAAACTACACGTGACATTTGTTTTGTATTTTCGATTATAAATGTTAATACTTGTAGTTTGTTCAGATAGAAATATCATGTGCAATGATAGTACATGTTGGTTAATGCCTACACAAAAACCTACAGTGCAGTGGGACAGGGATCCTAAACTGACATGTACCATATTTATCCTGCGATAAGCCCATATCTTATTTTTTATATTATAGAAAAGATAAGAAAACTAAAGACCATGAAAATAAAAACGCACATGCATGACACTGTGGTTGTCGGCATCAGATCTGCGCTATCAAAAGGAGGCAAATACACCCAAATACAGCCTACACCACACATACACGCATACACTATTAATAGAGCACGTTACCAAATAAACCAAAACCAAACGTGTAAGCATGTGTGCGTACACGACACGAATGACAGCAGTATTTTCTTATTTTTCATATTTTACTATTTTTCACAATATATATTTCTCAATACTTTTCTTAATTTTTCATATTTCCTTATTTCTAATAATTAAGCTCACAATATTTTTAATCTCTGGTAATATATTATTGTCCGTGTCTTTTTCTTACTTATGGACATTGGAGAGATCAAATTGATCTGCTGTTCCGATGATCAGTTAGAATATCTATTTTTTTACTTTCTCAATGTTCTACTCTTTCTTTAAGGCAATGTCTTTCAAAGCACACATCTTCATATGACTTTATTTGTTGCATTGACGTACATCAGGTAAAACGAGGGTTTGTTCTGGCTTAGTGAGGTCTACACAATGAGCATCTCAGCCGCTAACTTTACAATCGATTAAGTTTGCTTCATGCAATTTACTTGTTGTAGGTTCTGTCAATAAATACAGTTAACGACTCAATTTACTTGTTGTAGGTTCTGTCAATAAATACAGTTAACGACTCAATTTACTTGTTGTAGGTTCTGTCAATAAATACAGTTAACGACTCAATTTACTTGTTGTAGGTTCTGTCAATAAATACAGTTAACGACTCAATTTACTTGTTGTAGGTTCTGTCAATAAATACAGTTAACGACTCAATTTACTTGTTGTAGGTTCTGTCAATAAATACAGTTAACGACTCAATTTACTTGTTGTAGGTTCTGTCAATAACAACAGTTTACGACATGCTTGTTTGTTTAAAGTGTACTTTACGTTTGTGAAGTCAAATCTCCGATGGAAGAAGTGGGCCGAAAATGGAGATGTGGAATTGTATGAAGCGCGTGTCGCGACCGACTCGGGATTCCATTGTGGAAACTCCGAACCTCATTTAAACTGAGGCGGATTCCAGCAATGACGTGAACAACGCCTCCTAGGAGACACATTTAACAGTGTCAGAGCAAAACGGAACTGGTACAAAGACAGCAGAGAACGTTTTTGATGTAAAACGAGCTTTGAGATTGGAGCCCTCCCTCGTTAACGACATCGTGTTTGTGAATTATTGAACACGTGCTGACAATGTTATCAACTCTTTCAAAACAACTTTTTAAATTTAGCTATTGCTTTGTTATGAGTTTTAAGGCTGAATCATCATGTCTTCCAGTTACCAGGCCATTTTAATACATCACGGAGCCTCGTTAATCCGCACTCCGGTAATCTGAGAACTGACTTCCGGTTACAAATTTAATTGTTTCAATGTAACTTCTTTTACAGTTATCCGGATAAAATTGCCGGGAAACCATTTTACTGGACAAACGTGGTAAGTTGAACCCAATATCAAGCTGAAACCACATCATCATCCCGTGTTACAAGAATGTGTTCATCTCTGGGCTCGGCTCACGTGTGAGGATCCGGTAGGGGGGAGATACACTGATGGAAGGAGAGGGCGTGAAGTAAGGACGACGCAATGTTGGAAGGTGACTGTGTAAGGAGGTCCATGTTGATACATTCATATTTGTGGAAATCCATGTATCAATAAGTCCGCTGCCCTGTGCCGTCATTCTACCGCTGTGAGAGGTCACCGCTTCTCTCAGATATTATATTTCTATTGACAGTGTGGCAAAACGTCTATATTTTCACATGTCTGGTGCTTCAGATATGTAGCTTCGTTTGAAATATGTATCCCGGGTCGGAAGCAGATGCCACCTCTTCTCGCCTAGCCTGTCTCGGACTTTGTCAATCTCCAAAGATAACACGTTATCAAACGAAATACATCGGGATCAATATAAAAACCATTCCCTTTTGGAGTTAAAGACGCGGACTGAGCAACGCTATATAGTAATAAAGATATACATACAGGGTAACATTTCAATATTTGCAATGAAACATTTAAAAAAAAACTTGTGTCATTCGTCACTTTAACCACAGACTTAGATAACATCTTATCTAATTCCGTGCTTTAACGATGTATTTATTTCAAGGTATCCTGACTTATTGATTTGTGCGCGAGATTGAAGGTATCTTCACACTTAGGCCTACTCTGACCTTTCCTTACAGCACAAACAGATCCCGGGGTCCCCAAGGACCGGAGGAGTCTTTGATGCCAACTTTGTACGTGTTTGGGCTCCAATTAAAATATCCTTCTGGCTGAGACCTGGTGCCAAGTCCCTGAGATAAAATACTGTTTATTTTAGGTTTTTTTTCTAACACGGCTAATAAGTGTCAGAGTACTGTGTTGCATGTATTGGCTGGTAGTGCGGAGTCAGCATCGCGAACCTAAAGAGTGTTTACAACTTCCGGTCTACGATGGAAAACAGACAGTACAAGAATAGTAGCACGCGCAGTGGACATTTGTAATCTATTAACGATTTTCAAGTCTTCTGGACATGCGATAATAGCATTTCTTGAAGCAGGCACATTGATGTTTACTAGTTCAACTGTTCAGAGTATCGTGGTGGTTACTTTAGGTAAAGTGTATCGTGGTGATTACTTTAGGTAAAGTGTATCGTGGTGGTTAAGTTAGGTAAAGTGTATCGTGGTGGTTACTTTAGGTGAAGTGTATCGTGGTGGTTACTTTAGGTAAATTGTATCGGGGTGGTTACTTTAGGTTAAGTGTATCGTGGGGGTTACTTTAGGTAAATTGTATCGTGGTGGTTACTTTAGGTTAAGTGTATCGTGGTGGTTTCTTTAGGTAAATTGTATCGTGGTGGTTACTTTAGGTTAAGTGTATCGTGGTGGTTACTTTAGGTAAAGTGTATTGTGGTGGTTACTTTAGGTAAAGTGTATCGTGGTGATTACTTTAGGAAAAGTGTATCGTGGTTGTTACTTTAGGTAAAGTGTATCGTGGTGATTACTTTAGGAAAAGTGTATCGTGGTGGTTACTTTAGGTAAAGTGTATCGTGGTGGTTACTTAAGGTAAAGTGTATCGACAGGACATGTGTGACCGGTTAGTACATACCAAGCCGATATTATCTAAAACATATG